GTTTCCATAAACTTTTTGTGTCAAGCATAGATAACACGAATAGGTGTTTTTATACTTTAGAAAATTATACTTTTTATACTTCTATACTTGTATAGTTCTGCAAGATCTGATGTCCGATTTGGTCTCTATACACCAGAATGCAGATTACACTTTTTCTTGCCCTATTGTAATTTTCGTTAAATGTCGGGGATCGATAAGAAGCTCTTTAAACATTTACCTGAAAAGACAAAAGAAAATAAATTATAAAAGAATAAACTATTTATAAATTAAAACTTTAATAGTATTTCTTTAACATGCAAGTAGGTGTATTGATGGACCTGGACTCTAATAGTTATTAGGTTGGTGCAAAAATAATGACGTAAGAATGTCGTTTTTTGACGTTAAAAATACGTCAAAAAACGACATTATTACGTCATTATTTTTGCACCAACCTAATACAATAAACTGTGGAAGTTGTACATAATTTATGAAAACACTATCGCATCTACTATTATCATACAAACCCGCTATAATTATTAAAGTAAACTACTCCCCCTGCCCCCAGCATATTTAATGCCACCATAAAAAAGAATAAAGATTACAAACTGCAATTTCTACCAGTTCCATATACGCAGTCATCAAGGACAAACAAATAACCAGCTTTAAAACAATAACAAATCAACGTTAAAAAATTAAAAATAATAGCAATTTTTACTTATCATAATTTTACACACACGTATATACGTGCATTCGAGGAAATATTATTCAGCGAAAGAATAGAAAAATGTTCTGATTGCTGACATGTATACATTCACGAGACATTCACGAGAAATTTTCGCTAGACTTCCGATCTTTGAATTTCAACATACAAATGTGTATGTATATAGACAACAGCATACATATACATACATATGTCAAGTCCCATACTTTCCACATATGTTTATGTCTGCATGAGCCCCGGTGGACGAGTGAGTGTGTATGTGTGTCTGCGTACGTCAACAGGTGTACGCACATTCATCTATGTTTGCGTTAGCATGAGTGACATCACGTCGTCAATTCCCCCGCACTCCCATAATAACACCAATACACGCAATCTACATAAATCCAATTTTTTTTTAAAATTAATCAGTTTGTCTGACGATCCAGGGTCACAAACTCACATCAATCCAACTAAATCTACATTCAACATCATCACTTGATAAGAGACACCAGAGGTGTTGATACAAAATTGCTATTTTTGTAGAGATTTTATAACATATTTCTGTCATGATATTTAAATAAATAATTATATATATATATATATATATATATATATATATATATATATATATTAAAAATAGACAAAGGTCCGACAATTTATTTATTAAAGACATATTTTTTTTTTTTTATGTTTAACGTTGTTATTTTATAGATACAAGTATTTAAGCAAATGCTCTGTTTATGATAAACAGTATTAAATAACATTTACCGGCCTGAATGTCCGAGAAATTTTCATAGAAAATTTTCGTTCTTTTTATTTAGTTCGAACCTGCATCCCGTACGGAACCGTCAATACGGGTGCCTTTACCATTGAGCTACAAAGAACCAATCGGTAGACAAGGTCTTTATAAAAACTCCAACTTTCCATGAATCTCGTACATTCATAACTGCTCTGGCGTATCGAATGTCTACCGATTGGTTCTTTGTAGCTCAAGCGGTAAAGGCACGTCAGCGTATATGACGGTTCCGTATAGGATGCAGGTTCGAATTCTGTCAAAGAACGAAAATTTTCTATGAAAATTTCTCGGACATTCAGGCCGGTAAATGTTATTTAATACTGTTTATCATAAACAGAGCATTTGCTTAAATACTTGTATCTATAAAATAACAACGTTAAACATAAAAAAAAAAATATGTCTTTAATAAATAAATTGTCGGACCTTGTCCATTTCTTAATATATGACGTCATTTGTTTACATTCGATACGCCAGAGCAGTTATGAATGTACGAGATTCATGGAAAGTTGGAGTTTATAAGCAGTAAATTCGACCTTGTCTACCGATTGGTTCTTTGTAGCTCAAGCGGTAAAGGCACGTCAGCGTATATGACGGTTCCGTATAGGATGCAGGTTCGAATCCTGTCAAAGAACGAAAATTTTCTATGAAAATTTCTCGGACATTCAGGCCGGTAAATGTTATTTAATACTGTTTATCATAAACAGAGCATTTGCTTAAATACTTGTATCTATAAAATAACAACGTTAAACATAAAAAAAAATATGTCTTTAATAAATATATATATATATATATGTTCTAGCATGTTTCTGTTATTTCAACAAGCTATAATTTATGCTGCAACTTTTCAAACCAGACATTCTGTTGTGTACGATACACCTAATTTACATAAGTGGAGTACTGACCATATAAATATGGGTTGGTACCGGAAGACGGGGGGTTAGAAGAAGATCCAATCCAGAGACTCTGCCCGACTGCGATTTCGTCAACCCATTATGCAGGAACAGTCTTCCCAAGAATATACCAAAACTAACTGTAAATATTGTGTACCTTTTCCTTGTTTCAATACATTTTGTTAACGTACATTTTGTGTTGTATTATTATTATTCCATGCTTATCCAAGTTTCAACACATTCATTGCTGTTTCTAAGGTATGACGTATAATGTGTTTATAACAAAGTCAGTGTTTTCATACTCTCGGTCAGGTTGACTTTTGGCTTACTGCTAGCACAACCATCAATGGTTTCTGAACAGTTGCGCATACCAAATCTCACTTACAATGAATAGTTCTATATTCACTGATAGTGTAATTGGTAATATATTACAATTAATTTTGTCAGTACTTTCACAACACGCACAGCTTGAAAACGTATAGTGACATTAAGATTTCTGTTAATTTTAATCAAAGTTGTCGCAAAAAAACCCCCAGATTTTCTAGAAATATCTACTATGTTGGCTATATGAGCCTTCAAATATTTTAAAGATATTGATGCAACTTATTAAATTAATCAATGGGATAGAAAATGATGCCTTCCAAAAGATAAGCAAAACATCAAGAAACAGGAAATCTTCGTTGAAAACAAATTAAATTGTGCTGAATTGTTATGTAATATCAGTCTGTCTATATGGCCGTGAATGTTGTACCATTTCCAAACAGATGAGGCAACAGAAATTTGTTTCTACAGAATGATGCTGAGAATATCATGGACTGAAAATTTTTAGAATAAAACAGAAAAAGGGATACTGATACTTAACATCAGAAAGTGACAGTTGAAATTTCTAAGGAATATAAGAGGCCCTTAAAATTAGACAATCCCAAGACAGATTGAGGGTAAAAGGGACAGAGGAAAAGTGTATATCAGCTACCTAACGAGCTTGTGTACATTTTGGCAGAACAGGAATTAGGAGATGTTACGAAAAGACTAAATTTCGTAATAGCTACAAAGAACAGGAAATGGTGGAGAGCCATGATTCTCAAACCCATAAAAGAAGAAGAAGAAGAAGTATACTGAAATCTATTCATTAGATCACGAGACAATGTTAGAATGTCAATGGGCTAGATGATGCAGCAATTTTAGCGACTATTTTTGTAGCTGAAACACCTTGGCTATTAATACAGAAATAACGTCACAAGGGATGCGAGTTCGTGTCTGGATCTTTGAGTCAGAAAGTAAAAATGGGCCTTTAAGCTTAAAAGTACCTAAAATTAAATAAATATAAAAGGAACCATTTATATTTATTCTGAGTTGACTCAAGGTGTACAATCCGCAATTTCTGACTGATGAGATATCTAAAGAGCGCTTTTTGTTTTCCTCTTCTGACTAAATTTAATCTAGAATTCAGAATTGATTTCTAATCTATTCGAATCGTATCTCACCCAACGACATTAATCTAAAAATGGCAAAAAAAACCTTTGTTTGGAAAATCGATTGCTATAAAATTTACTTTTCTAACAGTTTTCTCTGTCGAAACAGAAATCGCAAACTGAAAAATTTAAATTGATAACGTTATCAGATATATATTTCAAAATGATCGGAAGCCCTGTTTTGACAGTGTTTGATTTACAAGAATAAATTTTTTTTACCTGCGACTTATTGCTATCTTTAAATGTCTTGCGCCCGTCTGCCGTTTTTAATCGCTAAATCTAATGAAAATACATTTTTTTAAATCTTGCTTAACATAATGCATTATTTTTCTCTTTCCTATATTTTCCTTATAACAGGGCAAAATCATTAGCTGACCGTCAGTAGTAAATGAATATAGATATGAATATAATGCTAATCGATTTGAGTATTGAATTTTCATGTGACTGATGGCAGAGTAGTTTCCTGTGGCTTCCCCCACGGTGATTTTATTGCGACATCATCTCTACTTACCTGGCACTTAGGCCGGGGAAGTTGAAAATAATATTAACTTAACTAGGTGGCCATCTTCTCAGGATGTACATCTCCTTTGAGAGGGCACTGGGTTCATTACTTGGCGCCTGAGGTCTTCCCAAAAGGGGAAGTACCGAGTGGGCTCTAGCAATTTTTGAAGTTTTACCGAAATCCCACATTAATCTACAACGTTGTGTTACATTCTGTTGCGACGTCGACACTCGTTAGCTGAGCATTGATTCACCAAGACTTCTTCTACATTTTGAAAGTTTTTATTTTTCGTTCAACAGAGTTGCTAAACACTTCCCTTACACCGTACGAAGATGACAAGGAGACAATTTCCTCAGCGCCCATCCGAGAAAAGATTTTGCACGTTGGTTGTATTTGTTTAGCGGCATATCAACATATCTATGGGTTATTCAATGCCAAAATATAAATATTTTAAACATTTTTATTTCTGGTTGTAATAATGGTTTTAGTGATACAAGTTATACTGATTAACCCATAGGGAGGAAAAGAGGTAGATTCATAACTTTTCTGTGAATATTTGCGCGTAACTGAATATAACGTACCCAACAGAAATTTGAACTCGACCCTCCGATTAACAATTTCGAGACAAGATTACTTACAACAACATCAGGTCCATGCACAGAGCATCTGGTATTCTCAAACGGTCGCCCATCTAGGTACTGACCAGGCGTAACGTTGCTTCACTTCGGTTTTCGTGCGGGGACCGGTGTTTCCAT